CCACCCTCCCCCCAACCTTCCCCCCCCTTGACTTCCCAGAACCAAAACAAGGTATAAATCTTTAACAAAAACAGTTTAAAATATACTTAAAGAGAAAGTAGAAAATTAATAACGTCTTTAAATTGAGCTTAGCTCCCGAATCTTGAGGACTTTTTTTTTTAAAGTGTTTTTATTTATTTTTCCAAATTTTAAATATAAACATCCCATCTCTCCTTAAGCAGCGTGTCGTCGGAGTGCAAATATTTCTGTGCTTCCACAAATTATAATGCATTGGACAATTAAACATTGTACTGCTGTTCCTTTCCTTCCTTAACGTATTTTCTAATAAAAGTACCATAGTAACAGTAAACACAATTATTTTCATCACTAACAATTATCATTTTATTCTCATTTCTCTCTTAATTTATTTTCTGTTCTTCTTTTAACCTTCTTCTTTTTCCCCTTTCCTTTTATTTCCCATTTCCTTTTTTATTCTCTAACCCCAATGATGGTGAACTTATGGCACGGGTGACACAGGTGGCACGAAGGGCCCTCTCTGTGGGCACGCGGGTTGTCGCCCCAGCTCAGCTCCACCACGCACGCGCGCGCACCTCCCACCAGCCAGTTGATTTCCAGGTCTCCGCCGTGCATGCCCAGGGGCGGGGCGCATGTGGGAGGCATGCACACATGTTTGGGGGAGGTGGAGGGTCACATGTGCATGCACGGGGCAGAGGTGTCACACACGCATGTATGGGGGGGTGACGGGGAGCGGGGGGGGGAAGCACGCCACCTACGGCCTGGTTTTGGTCCTAGGAGGCTGCAGGGAGGCTTACTAGGCCCAAAACGGGGCGCAGGGGTCGTGTGCGCATGCGTGGGAGAGAACAGGAGAAGCCGGGGGGGTCCCACGCGCATGCGCAGGAGTGGGGCACAGGGTGTGTGTGTCACACACGCTTTGCATTATGGGTGGCACACGACGACAAAAAAGTTAGCCATTCCTGCTCTAACCATTGACAAAACGCTTCCCGTATCATATAATAATCAGTTTGTTCTTTTCTCCTTCATTGCTAATGTTAATCTATTCATCTCTGCACATTCTACTCTTTTCCTAATCGCCTTCTTGTCAGTAGGGATCTCTTCGTTTTTCCGAACCTGAGGATTTTGACGGCAAGAAAACACCTCCGGGGGACGGATGAAGCTGTGTGTGTGTGTATACTTACACAAATGAGCTACTGTCTCCCAGGAAGGCTAAATACAGCCTTTTGTTAGACAAACGTACACAATTATATGTCAAAGTCACACCTGCTACTTAAGTTTATCCAAGGTTTTTATTATTTTTATTTTTAAAATCCCTGCCATCCAATCCTCCCTGCCTCAAAGCAGCTCGACCATGCCAAAGGTGAAGCTAGGCAGGCAGTCCTTGAGTTATGACTATTTGTTTAGCAACCGTTCAAAGGTGCAACAGCATTGAAAAGGCGTACCTGTGACCGGTCCTCGTATTTACAATCTTTGCAGCGTCCCCATGATAAAGGGATCACCATTCACTTAACACAACAACTGCAGTCATTCGCTTAATCACTGCGTTGCTTAACAACAGAAATACTGGTTCCAATTGTCATAAGTTGTGGACTACACACACACCTACACACACACACACACACACACATATATGACAGGCATCGCAATTTCCAGAACTTAGCTTTCGTTAGCCTCTGCCAACATCGTCAAGAGTGTAAAAGCTACCATTGAAGAGATATGTGCCTTTATACGTCATTGATCAAATCTGGCTTCCCCATTGACTTTGCTTCCCAGAAGGCTGCAAAAGGGGACCCACCCCCTCCCCCCCGGGGCACTGCGACTGTCATATATGTGTGTGTGTGTGTGTGTGTGTGAGGTGTGTGTGGAGCCCACAACTTATGACAATTGGAACCAGTATTTCTGTTGTTAAGCAACGCAGTGATTAAGCGAATGACTGCAGTTGTTGTGTTAAGTGAATGGTGATCCCTTTATCATGGGGACGCTGCAAAGATTGTAAATACGAGGACCGGTCACAGGTACGCCT